GCGGCCACCAAGAGGAAGCGGCGTGGAGGCCTGGCGGTCCCGGCGAAGAGGCCGAGAAAGAGCGGAAAAGATGCCAGGCCTCCTGCGAAGCCGCGCGACAAGGCAGAGGAGGCGGAGGAAGAGGACAGGAATCGCATCCCAGGCCCCGTTTGCAAGGTAGAGGGCTGCCCCCGGGTTTCCCCTGCGGCCGGCGGCCGGCATCTCCCCCGGGGTCATCGACCCAACCACGGCCGTGCGGGCTTCCGAGTGGCTCTGTGTTGCGGGAGCTGGGTGTCAGCTCTCCCGGCCGCACCGGCCACCGCGTTCCCATCTAACCCTCGTGCACGAGGCGGCCCCCGGGGAGACGTCCGGCCGAGCGACCGTGCGGGCTCGCGGGAAATCGACTTCGGGAGTACTCGGTTCCGGTTCTGTTTTCTAGTCCCCCCGCCCCCCCCGCCTTGAAGTTGTTTCGAGATGTTGGCTCTATCCCTGAACAGTCACTGGTCTTCCCATGTTCTGCCATAGCCAGCGGCTGGGGTCCTGAAGCTTATGTGGTGCTTTGAAGAGTACTGTCCTTGGGACTGGGACTTCGTTTTTTTTAAATCCTCACCCGAGGATGTTTGTTGATTGTTAGGGAGAGAGAGGAACAGTGATGTGAGGGAAACATAGACCCGTTGCCCCCTTACGGCTCCCCGTCAGGAAGGGAGCCGCCACCCCTTTGGGGTCGGGACGATGCCGCCCAGCGGAGCCCCGGCCGGCGCCGACCTTTCGGGTGTTTAGCTCGAGGGGTAACCGGCGGGAGCGAGGGTAGAAGGTGGGATTTACTTATTCAACAGCCAGCCTGTCGGGCGCTGTGCGGAGTCCGGTTTCCCGGCCTTGGGATGGCAGCACTGGACCGCGACCTCTTCCTTTCTCCCCGAAACGTTGGAGTTTAGAAAGAGACCCAAGAAAGAATTCATTTGAGTTGGTGGTTTTTATTCTAAAGGAAGTGAGCCGCTAGATCGCAGACTGTGCAGACAGGAAGTGCTTTTGATTGGTTAATTCCCGTGCCCCCCCGCTTAGCATGTACCCTAAAGAGTAATGAGATTTTCAAGCGGTCATGTGATTAGTACCTGATCAATGGTGAGTAGGTGGCCCTCTGTGGTGCAGGGGCAGGCACTGGGGAGGGAGTTAGCTCCGAGGAATGAGAGACGAGTTTACGTTCTAGCCTTGTCATTAATTAACAGTGAAATCCCGGACTCTTTTTCTCTTCTGCCTATTCAGAGGAAGGAAATGTGATCGCCTTTTTTGTTGTGAAGAATGTTGTATATTTTCAGTAAATGTTAGTGCTCTCATTCTTCCTTAAGGACCAAGGAAGAATATGATAGTCGCAGTGATCCGATATGAAATCTGGTATCAGTGAGTCTTGATTTGAAAAATGCCGTTGAAGGACAGACGATAGAGGTTACTTTTACCCAAGGATAATATAGGGTAAGGGATCATAAAGGAATTATTTAGCCTTTGAGCTGGATCTCAAAGTAAGGGCAGAATTCTGATATTCAGAAATGAGAGGGAACTATACAAGGGAGAGAAAGAGAAAACTGATCGGGGGTGTTGAAGTGTGGGAAACGCTGAGAATTAAAACAACCAACCCAGGTGCTCTTTCTCCAGGCGCACA